ATACTTAAGTACAAAAAATATCAGATACTTTAAGACTTTTACTCAAGTAATATTTTTAGAGAAGACTTTAACTTTTACCAAAGTATTTTTATGATAAGATACTTGTACTTTTACTCAAGTATCACTTTGAGGTACTTTATACAACACTGGTGATGAGGAGGAGCTCAGAGCTCCTCCTCATCACCTGAAGGAGTCAAGCTGAGGAGGTTCATCTGACCAGGATCAGGTTGGCCTCACTGGACAGAGACCCCAGACCAGACCTGTAGATCCTCTGAGGACTGGAAACTTTCAGGGGTCCTGCAGATGGAGCTGGTGCAGGAGGTCTGGATTCCTCTCCTGAACCTGTTGCGTCTGGAACCTGAAGACGTGGTGCGAGAACCAACCAGCTGAGCAGCTCTGACGCTGGTGAGGGGAGTGGAAACACCTGGCATAGTGATTCTGGGGGCAGGTGAGAGTGGGCGGGGCAAGAGCTAAAATAACAGAAACTGACGATGGTCACCCGCTTCGGATGTTATCATCCATGAAATGGACGTTATTAGGTGTTATCAGTCCCATAGAATGGCTTCAGATTGTCAGCTGGTTAATATGAGGCTTAAATCCACTCAGGTTAACTTTAGAGCAAATGACATGGTTAACGTTAAAGACCCCGCCCTCCAACGGTTGTATACTGTGGCCTTCTAATAGGGCAATGGGTAGAGTGGGAGACCAAGGTTTGAGACCGACACGGACACAAAAAATTTATTACAATATCTTTTGGTTATTTACACATTAATTGTCATTGATATATTAACCCACTAGGGGGCACTGTTGGGACAGTCTGAAGCCTAGAAGGCACAGTAGGGACCCTCTGAAGCCATTGTATGGGACTGATAACACCTGATAACGTCCATTTCATGGACTGATAACATCAGAATCCCCTGGTCTAAAGATATCAACGCAGCACCAGAGGAGACTAAATGCAACTTTCCTGCAGATCATGAAGTCAAACAGGTTAATCTCTCTGCACAGAGGACCAACAAGCTGTAATCTCAGCATATTTCTGTCTAAATGTAAAAACTCACTTGTCAAAAACCTAAATGAGATTTTTCTTTTCTTTTAAAAAGCAATTTAACAAGTGTTGTTTGAGAATGTCATGTATGTCTGCAGGGAGAATGTGAGTTTTTGATTTGAGCCCCCCCTCCGCCCCCCGGCCCCCCAGGCTCCGACTCACAGAGTCAGATATTAGATGTCTTCAATTAGACCCGTTTCTGCTGTTAATCAGATTTTCTCTGATTGTTTCCTGAGCTCACTGAAACCACGTGCCTCCTCAGGGCAAACTGAGAACTCAACTCGTTCATTAAAAAACAGATGTTTATTTTAAACCGTTTGCCCCTCAGGATTAATTCAAACACTCTGCTGATAACAGGAAGTGAAAAATAATAAAATGTCCAGTTTGTTCCTGCGCTCACCGTCTGGTTTTATTCCCAACATGAAACTGAGAGTTTTCAGTTTAGCCTTGCTCAGCAGAGACGTCACTTCGGCTTCAGTCGCAGGGATTTGTTTCATGACAAACAGATTAATAAAGTTACTTTCGTCGCTCCAGAACTGACGCGCTAAAACTTCTTCCTTCTTCGGCTGCATAAATCCACTTTTACACCAATTCTCCGTGGAGATGTAATTTACTGTCTCAACAGCCTGATTTATGCCGTCTTTACTGGGAAGTTATTGGTGTTCAGTATATTTATATGTATAAAAACACTATTAATAATTCAATCTTCTCAGTATTGCTCTCTGTCTGCAGTTATTACTCAGTAAGTCGGGCCGCGTGCAGCAGGATGCTGAGGCGGCAGAACGAACCAGAAACCATTTTATTGTTTCGACATAAAGAAGAAAAGGGCAGTGCTGATCTGCACATAAAACCTGCTCACAGTTCCTGCACAAATATTCAATATTTCAGCTCAAATAATCAGAATAACTCTGACTTTTATCGTTACGTATGGGGTGCCGTTTGTAAAGTTACACAGTCAAAAATTACCACCAATATTTTACTTTTATTTAGCCTTTTATAAGAAAAAAAGAACATATTTATTTCTCAAAGTCAGTTTTTCACCATACATTTATAAAT